ATTACAATATGATTACAACACATATTTATTTTTATTAAATTTAAATATGCTCTGATATTAGTGCAATAAAATAAGTTTCTAGAGACAGGTATTTTAATGTTATAATGACATTGAAACAAAATGTGTAAACATTTTCAGCAAGTAATGTAGAGATATAATAGGTTTCTTCAATACCATCTGAAAAGTCAAGCTGTGAGAGCGAGACAAAACTGTTATAGCAGCGAGTACCTATTGTATTTTATACCGTATATATGTATTAGACCAAGAATAAGAATATAGCACTCTAGACTAACTTAGTAGATGAAATATATACTACGGTGCTACATTTCTTATTTTCCTGATATCATTATACGACCAACACGGTAATACTTCCAATTACATATTGTATATTTTTTGTTTATTTGAGGAAATCTAGTTTGTTTAATCTTTGGATACATTATTTAACTTTCATGCTTAAACCTCTTGAAGTAACCATATATTGCAAACCTAGAGAAAGTTCACGTACTATGTAAAAGTTGATGGAAATATGATCATGGTAGAGCTTCACTTCAGTTTTTATATTTACTAGTATTACATATAAATAAAATAATTATAATTAACCATACTTTGAATCTTATAACCGTAGGCCACAAGATATGAGTTTGGTGTGCTGATTGCATAGGAATTCGATTGCTTTATTTCTTTATATTTGTTTAGCTGTAGGTTTCAGTAATAGATTTTGAAGCCTGATGTCATATATCATTAAGGTGTGACAGTGTTTCTGTATTAATGTCGAAATTTAATAGACTTTTGCTTCAGGTTGTATATTAAGGAGAAAAATGAAGAGAAATATCAATTGTTAAGTTGTCTGATGAAATTTCATTTTGAACATTGGATCTTGAATTGCAATTTTTGTACTGTATTATTGACATTATTTAATAGATATACTGACTACTATATCATGAGTTAAAAACTAAAATTCCATATTTGAATTGATGTATGAATTTGTATATTTAAATAAGTTATTAACTTACAATTAAAATCTGAGTAAGAAAAAAATAATTTCCTTTTTCAATTATACGGACATGTATATATTCTTTAAAATAGACCCTGGTAATCAATTTAAGAATTTTTTTAGACTAAGTAATATCTGTAAATCAAAGAAAAATATTGTTCGATCCTGATGGCAGGCAGTATATCTTTAAATTAATTTTGTAAACTATAATTGCAGTGGAATTGTATGTATAAACTGCTTACAATTCATATTTAGTAAGATGTTATAATGTACTGTATCTCGCGTTTAAGGCAAGGTTTAATATAGCAAAACTACGATCGAAAAACAGGGCATCATCTTATATGCACAACCTACAAATTTTGGATTTTTAAAATCATGTTTCCTCGTTTGTGCGGATCGTCCGTACCAAGCATATTTACTACTGCATCGAAGCTACTAAAATGTTAGGTCTATGAATGAATGCAGTTTTTAAAAAGGGGAAAAAAGATTTTGATAAACATTCGAAATCTCATAAAATGGTATTATTTGGAAGATTAGCCCTTCTTTTGGCTCTGTTTGTAGCCAGCTTGTTGCAAGAATTATGCCCGACATACAAAAATCGTTCTAAAATCTACTAAAACTAGGGGGTCGTCTTATATGCAGGTCACCTTATACACGAGTATATACGGTACTGTACTTAAGTGTTCGTATTTATTGTTGATGTTGTGGAAAAAAAATATCTTGCAATCATTTACTGGTACTTTTAATTGGGGGATAAATTGACGTTAAATTTGACAAGTAATCAACGTTTATAGTTCGTAAAGTTAGAATAATTTTCAAATATTTTAAACATTGATATTGTATCAAATATTATAGAGAGTTTTCTATATCTTGAACACAATTTGAATCATTTCGCAAGACTTGCAGTTGATAAGTCCAGTAGGGTTCAGATAAGGTCATGAAGCACTGGACATAGCTATGTCAATAAAATCTATCAGCAAGTGTCCATTCTCATTGGCTACACTCTCTGTACTCTGCCCAGTTGCTGCAAATGCAAATAGTTGCTAATGACCAGTTACTAAGCAACTCATTGGGTCACATCAGGTCATTGGCTAGATTTACACATTAACTGCTCAGAGGAAAAATATCAAGTCTTTGGTGAATAATAATGACAATGACAGAATCTAGAGATGATTATGAGTCCATGTTACTTAGCAACATCAGAGAGGTCAATAGTTCATAGTGGTGAGAGCACTGATGTCCAGTGTAATGGAATGTTGTGGTTAAAACAGTGGTTGAAGAGTTCAACCAACCCATGAATAAACAGACTGACCAATGAAAATAATCTTTTGGTTTTTCTCCAAACACCTGTAAATGCATGTATATTTTAGGGTGTGACATTGACAAAAATTAAGCTTATAATCCAAAACATGGCTTTTAAAACCTTATAGAGTATGTATGTAGGTATGTATCAGTAAAATGAGACATTAAGACAGTCCTTTATGAATTGGAAGGTGGCAGTGAATTGAAATAAGCAAAACCTAGAGTGATTAAACCTATGATAAACAGATAACGAGTAAACTGTCAATTGTGTGTGTAAACAAGGGAAGAATAAACATGAGAAAGTAGAGATGTCACTGTTTATAGGAGTAAAACAAAAATGGATGGTAAAAACAATATGAAAAAAAGTGTTAAAAGTTGTTAAAGAATGAATAAGTAATAATGTACACAGTAGGCATAGATATAAACAAAAATATAAATATATAGATTTCAAATAAAGTTGTAAAGTATGCTCTTGAGTGAATATTCTATTATTCGGATTGGTTCCACACACAAAAAAAAAATTACAACCTAAATTAACACTTTATTAAATCTTTGTCTTGACTTTATTTTAATCCATTTTTAATATCACAGACGTTCATGGAAATGTAGCTAGTTGTGGGATCAGCTTCTTGCTAATTGTGTTTCGCGGAATTTTGAAAGGTGCAAGCTGTCAAGTTTTCATGATTATTTAAACCTTCAGTCAAGATTATCATACCCTTTTTTTTTTAAGAACACATTTTAAAAGAACACTGAGGCTAAAATTGCTTTAAAAATAAGAACAAAATAAGAACAAATTGAGGCTGAGATAAAATGAGGTTTTATTTATTATTTTTAATAGAAAAACCAACAAATCTTGATCTGTACTTTATGTGCAGTTGGTGTAATATCGTCTATAGCACAGTACAGTAATACAATAATAATTTTCTCTCTGTGAAAAGTGTGTAAAATAAGGACAAAGTATGAACATTTTGAGTTTGAAATCAGCAAAAAAATAAGAACACTGAGCCTTGGAAAAATTTTAGTGCTTCTTTGAAGTATATGAAAAAAATATGTAAAATATATATCAAATAAATATATGTTGAGTATTTGTGTTTCATCATCATATTTTTTTAGCATAATACTCTTTAGTTTTATGCTAACTACTGTGCCAACTTTCTACTCGGCTAGATACTTTAGAAGAGAAGGCATTAAATTTAATGATAACTTTACATAATACCTTCATTACAGTAGTTTATTTGTTCACCCAATATTCAGAACATAGAAATTTCACACAAGATTAAGGATTACAAAATGTGCATGTTTTCATACTGTAGCTTAAATTACAATCGTGAGTAATAAAAGGCAATGTTTGGTCTATGCACGTACCTTTTAAACTAAAAGAAACATGTTAAAATAAACTCATTGAAATGAATGATTGGTGGCGTTTGGCAAAGTGGTCTAACTTTAGCCACTGCCCTACCCTACAGTATAAATAACTCTGATTGAACAATATAATAATATTAATAATAATAATAATAACAGAAAAAGAACATATAGTTTACACAAACACGAATAATGAAATTAATTTTCAAGAATTTTTATAGTATGACAATCTAAAATTTGTTTAATTCTAAATATATTTATACTATTTAATTTGTATATTTTAGGGATGTTAGTATTAGAATGTTTCACGATTATGTCTCTTTTTGTTCATGTAAAGCGCACAGAGGCAACTTTCTTGTATTATGCACCATATACAGTAAGACATACATTATTATTATGTAATTTAGAAAGTTGCTTCAACTTTGTTTTATTGTTTTCATTGATAAAATTAATTGCACTGATTGTGTGGCTGAAAGTAAAAATGTCATTAACCATGCAGTCCAATTTTTCAAGCAGAGTTTTTTTTTTGAGTCATTGATTATATTTGTAATTTAAAGAATGTGCCAAGAATAGAGAATGGACGCATATCATTCACCGCTTATAATCTGCAAAGCTGTTGTCTCTATTCTACTTACACCCTCTGTTTAAATTTTCAAAGATGAAATATAGATATAATGATCTAATTATTGTTTTTTCTTCAGGATGTTATTGGATTTTAGTAAGTTTATTAATTATAATTATTTATAATAATTTAATTTAATGTAGTTTATAACTGGAAATATGAATTTACAAAATGAAGTAATATTGGCCTGGGAAATAAGCCAGCAAGCTTGCTAGATTTATTACATCTACGCAGTAAATATTTAGTAGGTTTAGATTTTGAAATTGTACGCCGAAAAGACGAACAATATACTGTAGCTGGTAGTTTCCAACGCATTATACAATATGTTGTACTCTGTTGGTAAGAATTAAGATTTTTGTTGAGACTAAATAATTTGTACAGTATCTCAATTTGGTTGAATGTTTACTAATGTTGTTACATTAGATAAAACATTTCGGTAATAATGTTTCTGGAAAAAAAACCATAAAAATTGGTATACAGAATGTTTGGGCTCAACTAAATAGTATATTTTTTCTTCACACAAAATAATGTAAGGCAGGATTAAAATTGGTTTGTGAAGTAAATGTTGTTATTACTATTGTTAATAGTGTTGTTATTGTTATTAAATTGTTGTTATTACTATTGTTATTGTTGTTAAATTTTTATTATTACTATTGTTATTATTGCTTTTATTGTTATTAAATTGTTGTTATTACTAATTATTATTTGTTTATTCAACAGAGGATGAATGCCTAGCGACAGCACCCATCATGTCCAGCCCACAAACAATTCAGAAACCAACGTCCACACAAAGCTCGCCGCAGCAGAACTCTACGTGTCAAGTCTGTGGTGACAAATCCTCGGGGTTTCATTATGGCGTATTAGCGTGTGAAGGCTGCAAGGTGCGTTTATAACTTCTTTTTTCTCATACATATATAAATGTCAATAAATGTATACTGTGTAGAAACAGTGTAGCAACAGAATAGTTGTCAAGATTGGATTTATTTAGAGGATCTTCAATTAGTTTTATTACTTGTAATATGTAGTTAGGAAGTATTAAAATATTCAGCATCAATTAGAAAAGTTATTTATCGTCGTAATTGACCTTGTGGGCATATTTCTTATTTTATAAGATAAAGATGATTTAGAAGGCAATGTACATATGTAGAATAGTTGTATAAATGTTCAGGTTTTTGAAAAATGATTTAATTATATACTGATAATTATTATTCATTTTTATCTTTGTTTTTGCATCAGGAAACAAATTTCTACAATGTAAAGAGCAAAATTAAACATAGAATATCATTTTGATGATATAATAAAAACCATATAATGATGAAAAACAATCATTGTTAATATTTTTTTACTAACAGATGGAACTTGTAACATTCAAGTTCAAAAGGTGTACATTATATATAATACTATATTAAATATATCCTGATTACCCCTAAATTTAGCATCAACGTCATTTTTCATTCAATAAAAATATAATGTTGATAATACAGGCCTGTAACCAGGGGTGTTTCTGTGATTAGGCTTAACAACCTTTGTGGGCAACACCTTCTGATAAACCAAACCCTCTTCTATTGCATAAAAAAAAAACCTAAATTCAATTCTTCATGCTAGAATGCTTCAACTCCAAGGGACGTCAGTTTTACTGGTAAATTTACCCATATAAATTTGGCAATTCGCGCAGTGTGAGGCGTTACCCCTTTTGGGTCGGGTTTAATAAAACACCACCACATGTTCATAACCTAGGCCTAAACAGGAATGATGTTCATTTATTGAAAGAGGGTCTGCTTAGACTACCTACTACCTAATCAGTAGTTTGTTTTTTTTTACAAACTCAAAATTTGTATTGGTTGGCTGGTTATTTTTACCAGTAAAATTGAGGGCTAAAACGGCTTCTGGAGAACACTGGATGTTTCCATCTTACCCCAAAATATCTTTTACCCAAGATCTCACCATGGCACCTACTTCTAAAAACACTTTCCACCTCAACCCCTAAAACAGAATTCTGGTTACGGACATGATACAGTGTGTAAAGGTTAATTGCAGTACTTGTGATGTTTAGGCAGAATCAGATGATGAATGCTGATAATAATTAACTGAAATTTAAACATACTGAAAATAAGAACATGAAGAGCATTTATTCTATGATGTATTCACAGATGCTATTAGCAATGAAAATGACAAGTACGAGTTGCTGGGAATAGAAGGCACATTTTATTATTTTAAGAAAAGCTGTTATAACTTTCCTAGGGCCAGAATCCCCTTAACTGAAACCTGACACACCTGTGTAGTCTGCCCTCCCTGTATATCTTCTTAAATTTCCTAAGCTTAAAATAATTTGTATGTTTGATATTGGGGCTCGGGTCTAACAAGCCTACTGTGGGTTATAGATGTTTGAGTAGCCTATAATTAGCCCAGCCCAAGCTATCTGTGGATTACAGTATAGATAATTCGAGTAGGCCTACAGATCCAAGAATATTAAGCATTGCTTGGTGGGTCATAGATCTTTTGAGTACTAGCTCAGCCTTCCTCATTACCGATTCCAGTAGAGGATTTTTGCTTATCTTACAGGAAATGTATTATTCTACCAGATGTGTAGTTTAGGCATCTCAATTGTACTCTAGTCTATGCAATAATTGAACCCATGTTTCACTTGACTTAAGTTTAATATATAAAAAAGTACAACCTTCAGATTTTTTTTGTGCATTTTACACTGTAAACTTTTAAAACTACTGTTTGCATGTTTTTCTGCAGGCCTTTAGTCACATTCTTAAAGGATTAATAAAGTTTTAGTTTACGTTGAATGTAGGAAAAAATGGCCCTGGTAAAAATGGACCCAAATGACAGGTAGGTAAAAATGGCCCCAATAATAAAATTCTGCCATTTATATTTTACTTTTTGTAGGAATTACATATTCATAGATAAAAAAAAATTAAAATAAACATTTTTTTTAAATTTATATGTAAAAATTCCCATTTAAAAAATACCAACAAATTAATCAATAAATCAACATAAATCATGCATTTTTTAATACTGAAATAATTTAGTTGTGGCCAATTTCACGGAAACGAAATCGCAATTTTCCAAAAAAATTTTCACTTCAATGTGCGTATTGCTAAACCCCACAAAAATAGGTTATGAACATCAAGTTATTATTATTATTATTTTTTTTTCGTTTTTTTTTTTTTTTTTTTCATTTTTATTATTGTCATTTCGGGGGAGGTTTGTGTGGTTTAGCAATACACTTTAACCCTACCGTAATACCTCACTCTCATAATTACATGTCATTTCAATTCTTAAAATAATTGCCATATTTACAACTTTGAGTATATTTCGGTTTTCATTATTTAGTATAGTTCGAAAAAAACAAATTGGCTTTTTCTTTGAGTTACAGTTTGCGAGCATGTATGATTATGATGAATTTAAAAAGAAAGATTCAGAAAAAATAAGCATAAAACAACTTTCACATAATTAAGACCTTACTTCTTCTTAAAATGTGTTACTTTATTAATTATCATAGGTATGTGGCCCAAACAATACATTTAAATACATAAACTATGAAACAAATATTTAACAGAATACAGTGGCAACTAGTTAAACAGTATAATTGTGATAACAACAGGATATTTATTACTTATTTTTCTATGAACTATTTTATTCATTTCAATTTAATTATTTCTGCAAAAAGTGATAAAAATGGCAACTTATTTGACATTACCAGAAGATACTTTAAAGGAAAAAAAACTAAGTTATTTTAGTTTTCAAATATGCATATGGTTTATGTTGATTCATATGTTACAGGCTATTTTTCAGCATTTAAACATAATTTATTAAATTTTATAATTTGGGCAATTTTCTATTTATTGATTCTATTCTTGCTATTTTACAGTATTTAAAAATTAAAAAAAAAAATCATTTTTATTACTGAATTTTTTTTCATAGGGGCCATTTTTACCTACCTGTCATTTGGAGCCATTTTTACTGGGGCCATTTTTACCGGGGCAATTTTTACCAGGGCCAATTTTACCGGGGCTATTTTTGCCGCACACTGTTGAGGTATGCATAGCCTTGATACAAGATAACTTTATTGCTGTAATTGTAATGCAATTAGATACATACGCAATTTGATTCCAGTTACTCATGGACTTATACAAAAATACTAAACAAAATAAAGATTGTACTGAAATACAAAATAAAGTTAAAATTTCCATACACAGAATCAAAGATAAATGCACAGAAAATAAGAAAGAAATGTACAAATATTACAAAATTTGTAATAACAATGGTTTGTTCGTAACATTACAATACTTCATAATTAATGATGCACATAACCAAGTATCTTTTTATTTATATATATTGCATGAAATAAAAATTGAAATATAAAAACTTAGTATATTATTAAATATATGTTTACAACCAGATATAGTAAGTAAAGTAAAAAAAAAAAATGTTTCTCGTCGTAATATTTTAAAAAAAGGAGAATGTAGGCACCTTTTTTTTCCTTTATTTTTTTTTCCTGAGATGTTAAATCCAAGATGGCAAAATGGCAACAGCTACTACAAGGATACAAGGATACATAAAAAAAAAACATAAGATTTTACTAACAGTAACAATAATAATAATATTCGTAAATAAAACTATTAATAATAGCTGTGATGATATATACTATATCATCACAGCTGTCCTGCATTTATATATAAATATTATAATCAATTGATAAGTGATTAGATTGGTTGTCCCACTGCAGTTTCGAGGTTGGACTAGGAAGTTGCTACTAGTATTCTATTAATACATTGGTCATAATTAGGGGTCATATTTAAGGGTTGTATGTAGGTAAAAGGTAAAGGTAGGAGAATAACCCATAACTCACAGCATCATTGCACTGAATTGCCTATGGGTGTGGTCTGTCACTACCATCGCCATAAAGACGCGCTTATATCTTGTAGTTACATTTTCACTTAATTTTACAAGAGGACATACTATGAACAAAATTATGTCAAAATACATTTATGGAGAGAAGGAGTGGATCACATACTAATTATTATTATTATATTTAAGTTATGATATATTTGAATTAACTTGTTAATATTAATCAATACTGGCCACCCACACTAAAAACCTTCTACCTGATGTTTACTAATTGAATCCCTAATTCCACTACTACTACTACCTTTAATTTTACCAAGTAGACACAATGAAAGCAAATTATAAGAAGCACTGACATGATTCATACAATATTTAGGGCCTATATTGAGTTTTAATTCATAATAGTTGATCTGAAATTCTCATTAGGAAATGCTTATGAAACATCTCCTCAGCCACAAATGATCGAGAGAGAAATTTTAGCTGGATTTTCGTACATTTCAAAATATGAAAGGGGGAAAAAATTGGTGAGGCAGGGAAAATGAATGCGCGAGACGAGAAACTAGTATTTTTTTTTATTTGGCCTATTAGCTAAATTATTCAAAATACCATCAAACATGGTTTTCGCAGGCCTAGCTCTTGGTGGTTTTTCTCAAGATCAGGAATTTGTGCACTCTGATCAGTGACTTTCAAACCAGTATACATAGGTCAAGGATAGGTCGGGGTTTAAGAAAATCATAGTATGTTATCATAATATGATAATCATAATCTTTAATAGTTAATATTGGCAAAGTTTAATTGATCCGGTTTTGGTAATGTTGCTAGTAGAAGTGTCTATCATTATTAATTGATTATTGTCTATTTTAGATAAGTACAGTATCTACATTAGAAACTTATGATTCAGTGTCAAAATCCTGTAGCCAGTACCTATCGTAACTTGGACAATTAATTCTTACAATGTCTTGGTTATGGAAAGTCTGGGTTACAAAAAATTCAGGTTACAAAATGTCTACCAACTGATGGATAATAATAATAATAATAATGCGACATTAATATACTGTATAGCGCTATTTTGTTAAGAAGAAAAAAATATAGTAAATGTAAAATAAAAGTTAATAAATAAATAATAATAATAATAAGTGATATTTGTAAATAATGAAGTTTCATGTTTTCTATTATTGTATTATATGATACAGTATATCAAAATGTTTATTATTGTTAATTTTATTATATATATATAAATATAATATAAATATAACTTACATAAATTATAATTATAAAAAATCATATAATTATTAATTCATTTTTTAGTGATAATAGATTTGAACAAATCATTATTTACTGTCTTGATGCATGAACAATTCATAAATTACTTGCCAGTGTAATGGTCTATGTTTTAATGACCTATGTATGTGTCTGTTAATAGCCATAGCCAAACTATGATTTGTGTTGTAAAAACACATATCATAGTTTTATGACGTCATGTTTCTATTCCGAGTGTTTAACTATGCAAAATGTTATTATAATTTATATACAGAATGAGAATGCTTTTTCTTCTCTTTGTGCAAACTGATTATTTATTATTATGATTATTACTATTAAATTATTATTAAATTATATTATTATTTATTTGATTATTATGATTAAATGAGGCTGTTTTTGCAATTTTTCATTGTTGTTTTTGTCCTAAATAATTTTACTATACCATCATTTCTTATTTTACTGCCATTTCTCAATCTCTTCTATTCCAGGGATTTTTTAGAAGGAGTAGTAAACGAGATAAGGAATATACTTGTCGCCATGGCGATGGAACCTGTATAATTGGTCGTATGAATAGAAACAGATGCCAACATTGTCGATATAAAAAATGTTTGTCCGTGGGGATGTCAAGAGAGGGTAAGAATTATTGTATTTGTTATCGATGATTTTGTAATTTTCATTGTTCCTATTCACTATTATTGTTTCCTATATCTTATATTTCTTTTTATCCCAAAGCTGTACGATATGGTCGAGTACCGACTAGAAGTAAAGTTAAATCCCCCGGTGGTACTACGCGGAAAAAGAGCACTGACTCGGAATACAGTTTAAGCGAGAATGATGACATTCCACCAGTTGCCATGCCGATGAACGGCCATGAGACCCATTACGAGGTACCTCCACCAGTAAGGGACGAGTCACTACAGACAAAACAAGCTGAAATGTATGAACTTGTCAGCATGATTGCCTACGCTTTCCGTATTACATGTATGTATTCATCAAACGATATGCCATACCTCAGGGACTTCAATTATACTCAGGTAAGAAAATAACAATTGTACGTAAGTAACATCTACCAATTGAGTACCCCTCCATCCGAACAGAGTTCATGAATGAGAAAATTTATAATTCAGAGATTTTCCCAGTGTGCTAAAAGTAGGCCTACAGGGTTAGGTAGGCCTATGCCTTGCCATGGGAGCGAAATTGTGTCACAAAATATAACTTGGATTTTACTGTTTTCTGCAACAAAATAATACTTCACAGAAGTCAAAGTTGCCTGTGCTCACTGTGAAGTATTCATTTGAAGTGATTTCCGAATGAAAAAAATGACCACATAATGGCCAAAACGAGTGTTGTTATTCTTTTCATGAAGATCGCGAATCCATGCGTTAGTTAAAAACGATCATTTTTAATGACGTCATCGCTGCAAATTGGATTTGTAAAGTCGAGAGTTCGTAAATGGGAGGTTCCTAATTGGGAGATGTTACTGCATTATATAATATCCCTCCAATGATCAATCCAAAAATAAGAACTTTTGGTAATAGTTGAATTTTTCATTAAGATTTTTTCGTAAGAACATTTGTGTTTATCAGGGTATTGATGACTATGCTTTAATTGATAATTGATAGCTATATGTCTTTGCTTGCTATATCATCATAGCTGTCCTGCATTTATATATAAATATTATAATCGATTGATAAGTGATTAGATTGGTTGTCCCACTGCAGTTTGGAAGTTGGACTAGGAAGTTGCTACTAGTATACAGCTATTAATACAGTGGTCATAATTAAGGGTTGTATGTAGGTAAAAGGTAAAGGTAGGAGAATAACCCAGAGCATCATTGCGCTGAATTGCCTATGGGTGTGGTCTGTCACTACCATCGCCATAAAGACGCGCTTATATCTTGTAGCTACATTTCACTTAATTTTACAAGAGGTCATACTATGAAAAAAATTATGTCAGAATACATTTATGGAGAGAAGGAGTGGATCACAGAATAGATTATGTTCTGACCTGTCTTGAAAACGAAAAATAGATGATCCCTTTAAGCTATATACGTTAATTTTAATTATTATTTAGCCAATATATTATTATTAAATATAATAACATTGCACTTGTATCATTCAGGTAGTCATCTAATATATACAAGCTTGTGAAGCCTGTAGATGAATTGAACACTGCATTGTTGTTGCAAGAATATTATTAAGTTTGTTACTTCACAGGACAATCCCCAGCTAATGGTAGGCGAGGTTGACCTTGCTAATCGCCGACGCTGGATGCAGTTTACGGAACTGATTGACCCCGCCGTAAGTGGCCAAGTAGAATTTGCAAAGGCAGTCCCCGGGTTCCGTAATTTGACGCAAGAAGATCAGCTGCTCCTGCTAAAAGGTAGTTTCTTCCAAGTGTGGCTGCTTCGAATTTCACCGTTATTGCACCAAGTCGAGAATCGTATGCACACGGGGCAGACATTGTCAGTTATCTGGGAACAGCTGATGATTCTTCTTCCACGAGAACTGTTTCACGCAATGTATGTATTCGCAGACGAGATCAACCATTTTGGCCTATTAGAAACCGAATTAGCTTTATTCTGTTCTGCGTTATTAGCACAACGAGGTAAGACAAATTTTACATTTGTTTTTAATTCTGCAATGCCTATATTTGAATTACGTGTAACACTGTTGAAATTATTATTTTGAAAAACTAGGACCTTTTATGAATTTGTTAATGTATTTTATATTTCTCAGTAGTGGAACAAGGGGATGGCGAATGGGGAAGACCAGTTTAGTAAAAACCATATCCATGTCAACAAAAACATTAACATATTTGTCCTTAGCATCTGTATCCTTGTTATGATCAACATTATTGTTATCATTGTCATCATTATCATCATCAGTCCTGTAACTGAGAATTCTGGAGGATCCTATAAAAGCCAGAGGCGTGGGGAGCCACCGTGCTAATTTTTTATTTGTGCATTACTGTATAATAATAACATAATTCAAGTGTTATTTTTCCTCACTAATTAAGGACACATGTAAATAATTCTTCAATATTTTATTTAAGAATTTTCATAGTAAAAAGTATACAAATCAGGAAATAATTATGTTAATCTGAATCTTAATAGATGTTTATAAATTTTTTGATCTCTTCAAATGAAACAATAATTTTTTCAGGGTTTTATACAGAAAGTATAAATCTTTTCTTTATATAAAATTACAAATATAAAGTTTAAATTCTAATTTAACTGAACTTGTTTTTTTGATGCGATTTTGTAAATTTACGATATTATTCCACTTTTACAGTCAGAACGTGTATGTTTGTGTATGTTCTCTTTCTAAATAGAAGTTTAAGTGCATATAAGTACCACACATGTTTGTAAAGGATTTTCTAGATTCGTAGTCATATTTGGGGAGAAAAACATAAAAAATATTAGAATTTTAAAATGCTGATGCTTTTAATTACAAAGTTGTCAATATAGAAATTGAAGGTAGAAAGGTGATCATGATCATCTGCTGATCTGTTACTTTTTTCTTCTGCGGAATATTCTTTGAGTTATCAGAGGTTAAAAACCTTCTGAAAATGATGTCATTTAATAATTAAAAATCATCTGCGTCCCTGACGATCGCATTGACGTGCGCATTTTCGTTTGGGAAAAGAGAATGGATGCCATCGTTGTGTACATACGGAATTAATTGTGACATGTACCTCTTTATTTATAGTATAGTGACATCCACATGTTTATTTATTTGACATCCACCTCGTCGTGAACACCCGATAATGTCATTGCTGCAATCTCGGCAAATAATTCAGCTTTGCCAACAGCTGTCCGACACCCAATGCTTGTCATCTTTCGCAACACATGTCTAGTCTGGGCAATCTCGAAAAACAATTTAACGAATCATATTGATTAGATATTGTAGCAACTGTTATACTATTGTGATACGCTGACTTTCTAAATGAAATAAAGGAAAAAAGATATGGCAAAAACTGGAAAAAATTGAAGATGTGATCACATCTACAGGTGGATGCAGGTGTGCAATGAATCATTCTTACGCAAGTAAAATTTTGATTACTTGCGACATTTGTGGTTAAATTATCTTATTTTAATCCCAAGGTACAGTACTTAGGTAGTAATCTTTGCAAGGCTTCTCTTCTTCAAGTTTATGATAGTAATATTATAATAATAATACTGTAATTCCACGAATAAGACTACCTCGGTTATGAGCTCACTAAACCACTTTAAGTCAAATTTCACATACCAGCAATTTTCTCATGCAAAAGTGCAGTATATGTTTGAAATTATTAGCTTGAGACTTTCAGGATGAATGTAAATATATAGTAGATATTGTTTGTATTATCTCAGTAATGTTTTACTTTGAATATCAGTGCACCAGCAAACACTCAAAGGGTGATATATGACTTTTTAACTAAAAAAAAAAAAAAAGCCTCCCTCAGTCATCACTTTTCAATCTTAGATAGGGTGATAGAGTAATAATATTTTTATAGGGCTTAAAATACAAAACAATAAATGGAAAAAATATCCAAAGCAAGTATAGCTTATAGCCTAAAAACCTTTAAAAGAAAACCCCAAACTGTACAACTAAACATATCAACATAATAAAATCCTAAAAAAGAAACCGTTCTATATATCATTTCCATGCTAAAGAGTATGTTTCTATAGAAAAAAAAAGTTGAACAAACATATTTAGTCTATTCAACATAGGCCTATTTATGTAGGATCACTCCCCAGGAAGAACATTTTGTGGTAGATTGTATTTTTGAAATTGTGGAAACACAAATACCATAAGTACAAGCGTTGTTTAATTATCAGAGTTGATACTGTAATTTACATAATATTTTGTATGTTAGGTTAATATATTGAAAAGCAGGGTAACATTAGCACATACAGACTAAACGATGAACATAATTTTTGATGATAGTGGGTGTAAGACAATTAATCAAATCTAGAAACAGATGTTTGCTTGTGAGAGGATAATAAAAGTTTGTATGACTTGTATCTTTGAATCAGTCCAGTATCCCCAACAGAACTTTTGCCGTGTTAAATTTTTATAATGGGTAAGGTTCATAGAAAGGTTTACCTATACTTTTAGATGAACATAATGTAGTTATATTATAGGAAATGCCAAAAAAGTAAACTATACATGATCATGTAATGAACTGAAAAAGTGTAGGCGTTTTAGTCTGTTATAGAACAGTTATACGTCTATAAGAAATTACAACAGCTCTTTTAAGTACTTGTATAAAATTGATTTTCTAGGTATAAAATTGATTCTCTAGCTTTCGTCTGCACAGTGGACTTCATCAGGAAACTGTACAGATGGGATAAGAAAAGTATTGTAATGATACTACCCTATAATAATTCATATGAAAATATTTAGGTTAATTCTATTTAATATTATATTATTTTTAATTGTTTATTAGGTTGATGAAGAACAAACCATACTTACCTTATGGATGTTATCAAGTTACACTTAATTTAATTTTAATTTTTTTGGTTTTGTTTAAAGAAAATTATAATGTTAATTATAATTAAATGTATTTAGAATTAGAAATTAACTCGATCAGCAGTATTGTTTAATTAATTCTTAATTTTTTAACAATATTATTTTTTATTGTGAAAATTTAGTCAGAATTAAGAAGGAGCAAATAACATATTTTATTACTAACTGTATATAAAATTCCAAGGTCTAATATCCAATAAAATTACATCATATTGGTAACATTATCAGAAGTGAAACTATATTGATAATTTATTGTCTGCCATGCTAATCTGGATTATGCCAATTGTCATACTGTATTTGATATCTAGTCAAAATAATGAATAATTAATAGTATTTGATATTAAATTTGCAGCCACTCCAAGACATGAGCTATCTATTTTACTGAAAATGATTATGGACTTGAACTACCATTTACAAAAATCCGGCGTCATTTGAACTACTACTATGGCCATGTAACCTACCAAATTTAAGAAGTACTGGTTCCTAATGGCGAATAAGACCGCGGTTCTGTCTTCGCGATCCCTACTGTTCGTGGCTATGAACGGCTGGTTTTGCTACAGTCGGTCACATAGTACCCTCACCAAAAAAAATGAATAAATAAAAAACCTGCATGGGAAACTGACAATTAATTTTATTTGGCCATACTGTAATAGTATTATACTGCAACTCATTATGCCTCACACCTTGTTCAATATTACAGGCTTAATTTCTTGTCAAAGTAAGGGGAGGGGAGAGAGGAGAATACAAATTATCTTGCAATTACTAATGCATGCATCTTAGTTTTATTTAATTACTTAGGCTGACAATAAAACTAATATCCTTTGATTCTGCTAGTTCATTGCAAATAAGATTGAATGCTACAGTATGTGGCTATCTTTGAGAGTGAAAGTCGTCTTTATACATCTATGTCCTCCGATAAAGAGATACCAACCTTATAATTTTTAAATATGGACTGTTTTTTATTGCTTGTCCAATATAGTCCTTTTTTAAAAGCACTGTATAATTGCATTTTTATAGCTATCATTATTATTTGTGAATTTTGTTATTGAACTTATCTGTAGCCCTGAGAGGGACAAACAGATGAAAAGAGTAGTTCATCTACTTATAAGCCCTATCTGGTTGGGGCTGAGATTTTGAAATTTTATAGGTATGGAAATGGTACTTTCTTTCTTTCTGGTTTTATTTCACAATCTTTTGGAAAATAATTGCAACCTGAATTTGGGTTGTGATTCCACAGTTTGGGAACTGTCGATCTAATTATGGTTGAGATATCGAATCACAAAGGTGTGTTTCATACTAAAAAGCCATTTTCAAACTTGTTCAAAACTGTATAAATGTCACCTAGATATGGTCTTTGTACTGTCTAGAATTTAAATTATACAGTATGTGCAAAAGTTTTAAATATGTATGTAGTAACAGTTTCTCACCTTAAGATCTAAATGTTATAAATGTTACACAATTAGTGTGATAAGTGAGTGTTTCAATTCCAGAAAAAACATGAATATGCATTAACCATGAATAAATTACAATAAACCTAATGAACATTTGAGAACCATTCAATAAAATACTCCAATAAAATCCTTAGGGTTTTAAGTATATTTTTTCTTAGTTTGTACAGTAGTTAGAATAATTACATAATATTCATTCTATGGTTCTATATATAATTATATAGTTGACAGTTTGACCACCTCTTGTAGGCAACCAAATCTTGTATGCTATCGCTTGCCAAAGCATGTTTTGTTTCCCATTCAAGCACTACGTTGGTACCGTAAGACTTGTAAGTAACCCTCAACCACATTTGGGCCAAAAAATTTGTATTTATCTGCTAGTATTTTACATCTGGTAAGCGACTATGTCGGAGGCCAATAATATATTCTTTTCAACAAACACAACTTTACTTGGAGGTGATTACAAAAGCCTATTAAAATAGTAGTTGTTACATATCTTGTTGTGTCAATTGTTTTTTAATTCTGACTCGACATCAAATCAAGTTTGGCCTCGCTTGTTTTTGTGTGCGTTCTTGTGAGCACTTTATCTGCAGCCGAAATTGGTTGCTTATGAGAGGTTCAACTGTACTTTATAACCATATATTTT